GACTACACCTCAGAAACTTCCTACTTGAAACCAACATTTGCAGCAAGCTAAACCTACGCATCCACACAGACTCCACAGCAGGCAAGAGCATTGCTACACGACAAGGCACTAGCAAACGAGCAAAACACATCGACCTTAAATTTCTCTACACACAAGACCTCATCAAGCACGACATCATCAGAATCCTCAAAATCAACACACTACACAACAGCTCAGACTTGTTCACAAAATATATTAGCAAAGAAACACTACAGAGGCTCATACAGAGCATTGGCATACGTGTTTAGCACTACGAACAACAACTGTTTCACAACTGTTGCACATTAATCACAACAGTTTGTATATGGCCATATGTAACTACCTGCATGTAAGTAACAGTAACAGTAACAGTGACTACAAGTAATAGTAATTGTAACCACCAGTAATTTGCACTTGCACTTTTGGCGGCTTGTGGCGGCTTGAGACAACGCTACATGTTGTTTTGTTTTATTACATTCCCGCATGTGTTTTTGTGAGCTACCATTTGGCTCACTACTTTGCCCCGTCTCACTTCGTTTGTTCGGTCGCACTACCAGCAATGTCTGGACCCATGGATGTGACTACGATCGCGCCTGAGACTACTGTGCCAGCACAGGAGATTGGCACTACAACACCGGATCGAGTTGCTACACCAACCAATCAACCTTCCACTACCGACTCCGGTAGCATGGCTATTTTGGCCACTCCACCACCTGAGGCCTACAGTGCCCTCAACTACCACTTCAACCACCAACTACCAACCAATGCACCATTCTACAGGCCCGACGACATCCTGAACCACCTCACTACTGTCGAATACGACAGCATTCACACTCCAACTGTGGATCAGGGACGAAACTACATCGAGGTCTACGTGGGGCTGACGTTGGAGGAGTACCAACTACTCAGCCAACAACAAACTACACCAATGCCAGACCTCGACTACCAACTACCCATCCACAACTTGCCATCAGACCTACGAATGCCCCTCTACGATTCACTACCACTCAGCCTACGCTTTTCAGAAGCATTCAACTTCTACTACTACCACTTGACTTCACTACATCTCACAACATCGCACACCAACTCCATGGTCATTGCTCGACTCCACCTTCCTCAAGAAATTTCGATACACTACATCAGTGGCGGACACCTCATCAACTTTTCTCGTGACTACTTGAGTCACATGGTGTCAGTCATCGGCCAACATCACCTACCTACTCGGCAACTACCTCAACGACTTCACAAGATCAACTACGACATGGACCAGATCACCAACACCTTCAACCTGTCCAACAACTACATCTGGAATTATCACATGCCTCTTCACCTTCCTGAACTACTCAGCTACTACGACCAACCACAACAACTACAGGATCACCACTACAAAGCAATCAACACCATCATGCACAAGAGTTCCACATACTATGGATTCACACTACTCACTGCCACAAGTCTTCCCATGCAACACAAGCTACTACTGCACAAACTCCTCACTACATTTCAACAACCACTTCCACCTCCAGAGATCAACTACTCTTGTCTTCAGCCTTGACCACCGCATTGGTCAGCAACAAGGCTACAGAGTCCAACATTGGACTAAGCACACCTAACTACAGGTGATGCTACAACTTTGGACTTCCAGGTCCAAACTACATCGGGATGTATCTCATGAACTCCACTCAGTACCACTACTGAGGCCTGAACAGGCAAAAGAGCGCATGCTGGGAAACTACATTTGTGTTTGTGATAGCAGAAACAACACTTGCACTTGTAGTAAAGTATCGACTAATTTTAACGAGAGAGAGAGAGAGGGAGGGAGAGAGAGAGAGAGGCAGTATTGGTGATGCAGAGGACGCCACGATGATGGTTATCATGACCGTTATCATCCTGGTCATCACCCTTATGGGCATCATCCACCATCACCCTTCATCATCTTGATGTCATCAGCATCCCTTTCTTTTACCTTTATATATACATTTCAAGAGTGCCGTTAGGCACCACTGGTAATGCAGAGGATGCTACGATACAGAAGGGGTCGTCATGGGGGCTGAGTTTTTCAGATTCCTGGGGGCTGAGTTTTTCAGACTCCTGGGGGCTGAGTTTTTCAGCAAAAAAACAAAAAACAAAAAACACAGCCCATCATCTGCATCTGCTAGTTCAGGGCCATGGGACTGTTTTTTTTTTGGGGGGGGGGGGGGGTTTTGGTGCGTTTGCTCATAAACACCATGAAAACAAAAAACCAAAAACACTGATGCTTTCTTGATGCAAGCTTTCTTGATGCAAGACATCAATAATATGATGAGATGTGTACCAACAGAACATAAGCCTCTTCCAAGATATTCTGCAAGTAACTGCAGGTAACTGGAGAAAATTTATCTCATCTCTCATTTCATCTTCTGCAGGTAACATCTCATCACAACCAATTGCTTGTGGCTTGTGTCTACTTGCATCTATTCTGAACAGCTTTACTGTTGCAAGAGCTCTTCAGCAACACGAATAGCTGCAGAGAATCTTATTCCAAAGCTCTTATTCCAAAACTGAACAGCTTTATGCAGAGAATGTTATTTGCATCTGCAGATATCGTTGCAGGTGCTCATCTTTGCATCTTGTGCTTCTTGAGCTCAAGCAACTAGATTGGAGCTGTGCTCCAATTGCTCCAGCTCATTATGCGATAAATATGTTTGTGTTAGCTGTCTTTTCTCAAGAGCATGGGCAGAGCCCATGCGTATATTGAAATATTGAACATCCAACTGTAAAAAGAGCTGAGTCTTGCAGCTGAAAGCTGCTTAGATCAGCGATATCTTACGTTTCTTATGATTTCATATGCATGGCAAGCTGTGCTTGCCATACTTACGTGTTTCAGAATTGCAACACAACAATAATATGTGTCCCAAACATACATCTGCTTGCAGATTGCTAAGCATACTTCTTCCAAAATATTGCATACGTATGCAAATTGTGTTGAAGATTTGTGCCAAACATACGTCTTCCAAAAGTTAGCACCCTGAGGTTTATAAACTTGGCATGCGTAAGCATGCCAATTATCCAAAAATAAGCTACAGACACACGTTTGCTAAATATTTGCGTCCAACAATGATATTTGTGAAAAATAGTTCTCACCAGGCTGTCCTCTCTGTAGCTTGAAGCTAGCTCATTTTCCAGGTCTGGATGCATCTGAGTCTTCATTGGATCGAAAATGAATCTGTGCTTGCATGTCATCAGCCAAACAAACAAAAACGCACCCCAAAAAATCTAAGAGGTCACGGGTCTTGATCTTATATTTTTGGTATTTTTTAATGCTTTTGATGGAACAACTCAGCCCCCAAGAATCTGAAAAACTCAGCCGCCAGGAATCTGAAAAACTCAGCCCCCCATGCCGACCCGCCCTCCTACGATAATAGTTATCATGACCGTCCTCATCCTTAGCATTATTATCCTCACGAACATCATCATCTGTGATAAAGCAGCATTGGTAAGAAGATGCTACGATGATAGCTATCATCAGCGTCATCATCCTTAGCATTGCTATCCTCACGATCGTCATCATCTCTGATGAAGCAGCACTGGTAAGGCAGAGGACGCCACGATGATAGTTATCATCACCGTCATCATCCTTATCATCATCCTCACGGTCGTCATCATTTCTTGTGAGGCAATATTGGTAATGCAGAGGATGCCACGATGATAGTTAGCATCACTGTCATCATCTTCTCGTTATCCTCACGATCATCGTCATTTCTTATGAGACAGCAGGATGCTACAAGGACAGTCATCATGACCGTTTTCATCCTTATCATCGTCCTCATGGTCATCATCATCTCTTTCCTTTCCTCGTCACACGTCCCCAAAAAGCTTGTTCGTTCCACGTTTGCAGGGTTGCAGGTTTCCAACAAAAAACCACACACTCGCTGATATGTCCCCAAAAAGCTTATTTGGAGACATATCCCGGACATCCTTCGGCAAACGCTTCGTTCCAGGACGTTTTGGAGAATTGGCGTATGTATATCTGAAGTGTGCCGTTTGGCACCATTGGTCATGCAGAGGGTGCTATGGTGACAGTTGTGGTGACAGTTCTCAACCTTGTAAGCAGTCTTGGAAATGCAGAGGATGCTGCGATGCTAGTTATCATGACAGTCCTCGTCCTTACATCACCCTCACGAGCATCCTCATCTCTGAATACGCAGAGGATGCTACGATGGTAGTTTTCATCACCGTCATCGTCCTTATCATCATTCTCAGCTCATTGTTATGGTGGTTATCAGCACCCTTCATCATCTTGATGGTCGTAAAGCATGCACAGGCTCACACAAATGCAAAACAAATCCAAAGCCTTTACTTGCTTCGGAAGATTGGGAGGCAGATTGCCGAGCGTTTTCATAGAAGCCTCGCACTGCACTTCTTTCAGCTTCTAACATCATAGCTACTCAATAAAAATGAGATACCTTGAATGACCTTTGAAGCTTCTAGCAGCAGAGCAATGCTTGAAAGGAACTGTGCATGAAGTATAGGTCAGGGACATCAAAACAACAAATACATGATATGTAGATATATGCTCACCCCCTGCTATTGAATCAGACTGCTCTGGGGGGGGGGGGTTGAGCATAAATATATGTGTATATATATATATATACTATAACTGGTTGTAGCTGCAATACAACACAGACACAAGGTGGATCAAACACCCTTCAAGCCAAGTTGTTCAGCTGCTATCGAACCGGACATCATCTCAACTGTTTTTTGCGACTCTGTGCATCATGTTGATGGCAGCTCGCAACTGTTCAACATCCAAACAAATGAAGCAGTGAGACAAACGCGCACAGAGAGAAATGTGAGGTGCCTGAAAATATGACTTTGGGACCTTTGGTCAGGCTGATGCTTTCAGCATTTGGCAACCCCTTGAAAGGTGCCGCAGCGAACTGTGAAACATGCGGCTACGCATCTGGCCAAAAGGGCTCCCAGTACCAGGGAGACATGTTTCTTCATGATTTTTCATCGCAATCCTCCGCCAACTCGTCCTGGGGCTGTGCTGGGAAATCTGCGCGCTTCGTCGGCATCGCTTTCTTGGTGACATCCAAATTGCCTCGGCCATGTGATTTCTTAGCGTCAGAAAAACCACAGTTAATGCCACCATCTCCGCCGTATGTTTGCTCCCTCTCATTCCAAGTTGCCAAATACATACTGAAAGTCTTCGTATTCCATCCAGAACTTGCCGTCAAAGGTCAACTCGTGCGCCTGAAAAACGATGAGAGCCCCCTGTTAACAGACACATAATCCATTCGAATCAATATGTAAAATGAAACAATCTCAGACCTGAAATCTTAATCCCCCGGCGCTCAAAAAATAAGGAAAACCACTGCAGGGCTAGTTGGTGATTTCATTCGGGTTTGGTGATTTCATGCGGGGGTTGGCGCTCTCTATGTCTGAGGAGGCAAGGAGTAACTTTGGACTGTGTCCTCGGCTGATCTCTATCCTGATTGATGAGCTGCATTCTGCGCCTTTCTTCACCAGCTTCTTCCAAATTTGCGCAAGCACACAAATTTGGACGTATTTGCAGCGCTGTCAGGCGACTTGTGGTTTCAGGCGTGCCCAATGAGTTTGCCCGCTGGGCCATTTCTATCCTTCTCCTCGCTGTCAGTCAGTCAGCTGGAACCTCCACGACTGCCAGGCAAAACCAGTTTATTAAGTTCCTAATGGTCCACTTGAAAAAGTGGCTTAGCTGTGTATAAGGGCACTTGTTTGGGGTTGAGGACACTGGGCCTGGGCTGGAGCTGAGGACGCCAAAGGCTAGACTTGCGTTCCCATCCAAAGCACTTGAAAGCCACTGCTCACCTAGTAGATGGTGCCTGGGGCCATCATAATTTATCATAATTTTGATTTGGCCCTTGCTGGGCCAGCCCAGATAGTTTATCATAGCCCAGACCTATCATAGTTTGTGTGATTCGGGCACGAGCCTGTGCCCAGGCAATGGGTTAGTTGGGGTAAACAAGCCACAAAGAAAGGTTCCCCAAAAGCAAACCAATCCCCGGTCCCAAAGATCAATATTTCCCACACACCAGAGAACAACAACCAAAATTGAAAAACCAAAGCAAGAATGCCAATACCCGCAACCTTGATCGACGATGAACCGCACGGGCGGACCCCACCAATCTGCCCCTCTCCACCGACATGTGGGTGATCGACGCGGGGACCCGGCGACGCTCATCCGAGGCGCGACGGACCCGCGAACTTGCGCCAAACACTACCGGTCAGTCACTATCGCGACATCTCAGGTGACGTTTCAACACATGGCTATTCACACCCCCCTCACGAGTGCCCAAACAGCTGGACACTACCGCCGTCAGCGGTGGAGCAAACCCACAAAGGCAGTTGCGCGACATCCCGGGCATTAAATTCCCGCCACCACCCCGAATTAATCGGGGCAACGCTGTCCAACAAAACCTTGTGGAAGAGTCCACATGACGACAACAGGCCACAACTGTTTGCATCAAATATGCAAGTAGTTCACTTTTTATCAGAAGCCATGAAAAAGATATCGTTTGTCCATGAGGTACTCCTGAACCTGACCATGCGCATTTGATTGGACACTTCTGGTCATTGACCAGGATGAGGGTGGCATCAGGGTGAGGCACTACGTGAGGTGTGTCTGGCTAGACTGGGAAGGAGAAGGCTTGGTGAGGAAAAACGAAAGGTCAAGGCAAAAAGTGTTGCCTCTTTGTGGCTGCCTGGATGGAGGCTGAGGCTGCGGAAGCAGCCACTGGGTGGCCTGCTGAGGCAGCAGTTGTGTGGCATGAGAGGTTGCACAAGGCTGCTGGGCAGCTCAAGAAAGAGAAGGAGAAGAGGGAGAAGGAGTTGAGGGACCACGAAGCCAAGATGAAGGCTGGAAAGAAAGAAACTTGCAGAAAGAGGAAGGAAGAAGCAAACGAGCTGGAAACTGGAGGCTTTATTTAGCCTTGCTGGGCAAAGGAAAAAGCTTTGGCCCTGAGGACCTTTCGTGTGTGCAGTAAATGCAGGTGGAGGTCAGGATGCCTCGACTGCCACACAGAGAAAGCTTTGAGGTACCTCCGGAAAAGGAAGCCTTGAGGGCAGGAAGGAAGGTGGCTGAGAAACATCTATGAGGAGAAGAAGTGAGGAAAGCAGAAAAGAAACAGAAGCTGGGGTGTGGATGGGTAATTAATTAAGGTTGGCTTGGGCTGGGAAATGCTGAAGTAAGGTAGTTGATGCCCGCCTTGCTTGCTTCAGGCTCACAAGAAGAAGGAAGGAAAATGAGGAGCAAAGATGTGAGGGGGCTTTTGTAAATGCTTCTAGGACGATCTGCAAAGAGAAAAATAGTTGCTGCTTTGTTTGCTCGCTTTTTTTTGGCAAGGTGGGGACCTTTAATCGGGGTGGGGGGTGAGGCCCATTGTCGGGGTGCCTATCCTACAAAAAACTGGTATACCCTGGATCTATTCCGGAGAGAGTCCAATATGCCAATATGGAGGATTGGAGGATGGATTGTCCCTGGTGGCTTGTGTTGACGTTTATACCTGTAAAGCGGTCTGCAAGCCTTTTTATCAATGTACCATGAGTCGAATGATTGCACAAATGACTTGAAGGGCCTTGAGCCAACATGTCAGCGGAGTGTGTGAATAGGTCAATGTGCAACAAAAAGCAACACAACACAGACACAAATTTCTTTTGACCTTTCACACCGAAGTGTATGATTGGCTTCTTGGCCTTACGTGCCGTAGCCATGTTACAATGATTCATCCAATTTTGGCGCGGAGGATTTGTCATGTAAGCAAAATGGAAAACAGTCTGTACTGATTCTGTGAGATACCTAGATGTGTCCAACGCTATGTACATGCGGGACGGATGTGAAACTATTGATCTCTCACTGAATAGTCTTGTTGGCGGTGAGGATCAATCTGGTTGAAGTTCGTAGCGCCGATCGTGGGAGTCTTCTCAGTCGGTCGAATACGTGCCAAAGGTGGCTGCTTCATTAGGTGATCAGCGGTACCACCGACGGCTGCTGTCGGATTGACTGCCAGAGTTCCTGGATGAACTCGTCTAGGTTCTCGGGATTGCGATAATTCGTGGTGACCTTTGGCTTGACGGATCTCTCCCCGGAAGGTTCCATGTTCTCCTCTTCAACTTCGTCCTGATCGGTGGAGCGCCGTCGCTTCTTGGTCTCTGTGGATGTATCCTTTTCGGAGTTTTCCTTTTTTTGTTGGTCGTTATTCACATGGTTGAAGAAGGCATCGGCGAATTCTTGGATCTTGCTGGTGTGCATCTCAATGTCTTGACGACCGAGACTTTTCTTCGTGATCCAGTTGTTGCTCAGAATGATGTTCCCGTCGGGATCGAATGCTGCAACAATACTCTTCGCCTGGATGGTTTGTTCTGTCAATGCTGTTCGCTCTTCGGAGAGTCGGATGTCGTAGTTCTGGTTCTTGAGGAATGCCAGGATGAGCAATGCATCTCTTCCTGTTGGCACATGTGTCAATGCTGCTTCTGACGCGTCGTCGTCAAGGATAACGTCGTCGATCCATGTGGATGTGCACTCTCCCCGAAGGGTTTGACTGGGATCTCCCAGATTTCAGCCCGCTTTCTATGATGCTGATCAAATTCTCTCCATGTGTTGCATGGAACATGAACGTGATGGGCTTCTTCGCGAACGGCTTGATCTTCCTCTCTTCTTCAACGGATTGTGGCGCCGGCCTTCGCATTCTGTATTTTGCCTGAGCTGTGCTCTCGTCTTCATGGGGCGCATCGGATCTTGATGGATGCGGACTTGGAGGAATCGATCCGGTTATTCGGCGAGGCTCAATCTTCTGTTCAGAGTACAGGGGTCGTCCAAAAGATTGGAGATCGACTTGTCGTGTATGACCGCTGTTGCATCTCACATAGAACTCCATCTCGGGATCATTGAGGAATTCTTTTCCATTCGGCCGGAGTGCATCGTATGCGGATCTGGATGTGAGGTTGTCGATCCATCGATTTCTTGGAACAATGTTTCCCCTTGCCTTGCGCTCAGTGTATGGCCCGTCCACGGATGGATACACGAACGCCATCTCGAAACGCGCCTTTCCATAATTCGGGAACATAGCATGGGTAATGCTTCCCAATGCGTCATAGAGCTCAACGGATCCGTCAGGACCCATGTCCACTTGTCGTCGGCATTCTCGGTGTTGGCCTTGTTTTGGGTCATGTCGAAAGCATCCAGAAAACAATCTGCTCAATCGCTCGATTCGCCAGAGGATGAGGTCGGTGATCTGTCTTGCCTTGGTTGGAGCCATGTTGAAATATTTGCAAACCTGTTCAACATTCTGGACGGTCTTCTCGAGATCGATTTGTCGGTTTTGGCATACCATCGGAATGCTGTCGGTTCCGTAAACTTCTGGCTGAGCATTGGTATAGCAACAGATACTGTAGACCTTCTTGACGAAGTCCATGTATTGTTCCTCTGTGTGTGGGCCTTCACCTGGAAGGGTTGGCTTCCAGTAGGCAATGAATTTTGCTCTCAACCAGAATACCTTGGCTCCATGTTCTCGTTCATGCTCAGGAATGAAGTGGAAGTCCGGATGCATCTCGAGGATGGTGGAGCACTCCTTCTAGAATGCTTGCACAAAGGTGAGGAATCGAGTATTCTCGAAAGGTCCTGGATGTGCGGTTTTTTTGTGGAGGCAGATGTTGGTATCTGATCCGTCTGGTACATACCACTGATTGTTGGATGTGAGAGTTGGCCGCATCGCTGGTCGCCTTGGAAGTGCAGGTCGTTCACCAGGATTATTGTCGGATTCCGTCTCCTCATCCAATATGTTCTTTGGCGCTGGCTTAACCTTTGACACAAGCCTCAGCGTCGGCGGTGGTGACTTCGGAATCAGTTTTGGATGTGGCATCGCCTTCGGCATTGGATTTCCTGCGAGAGGTTGCTCTTCGTCATCCAGGTCATCATCGTTGTCGGTATCTCGATCATAATCTGCCTGCTCCATATTGTCTGGTTGTTGAGAGGCGGATGGATTATCATCGACGACCTCCCCCATGGGGCAGTCGGATGTCTCATCTTCCTCATCACGAGCAGGGGATTCCTTCAAAGGAGACGCCCGTCTCTTCACTAGCGGCTTCGGCGAAGGAGCCGCCGTGCTGGATTGCCCGAAGATCATGTTGAGAATCGGCATGTGTTCAAGGTGATCAAGCATACACGATTGCAAAGGTCGAAATGGTTGTAAACCGAAAGTGGCTGCGGATGCAGA